TGAATTATTATTCTGGGTAAGGTGTCCACTCATTCATTCAACAAAACATTTGGGTATTACTGTGTGCTGGATATTGTTCCAGGTAACAGAAGTATAGCAGCAAAGGAAATAGAAACCTTGACCTCTTGAAGCATGTGTGCTAAATGACACATTTAGTATGTGATTCAAAAAAGGGGGCGCGTGGGAGTGGTGGCTCACAGCTGTAATCGAGCACTTTGGGAGACCAAGGCAGGTGGATCACAACGTCAGGAGTTCAAGACCAGCCAGGCCAACATGGTGAAACCTCCTCTCTACTAAAATACAAAAATTAGCTGGACGTGGTGGTGTGTGCCTGTAGTCCCAGCTACTCGGGAGGTTGAGGCAGGAGAATTGCTTGAACCCGGGAGGCAGAGGTTGCAGTGAGCCAAGATCACGCCATTGCACGCCAGCCTGGGTGACAGAGCAAGACTCTGTCTCAAAACAAACAAACAACAACAACAAAAAGGCATTATTAGGAAATAGTTAAATAAAGATGTCAGGGATTGGGCCACGCACACATCTGGGGGAACACGATTCCTGCAAAGGGAATAGCAAATTCAATGGCTCTTGTACGGGCAGAGGGTTGGAGGAACTGCAATAGGGCCAGCGAGGCTGAAGCACAGAGAGACAGGAAAAAAAGGAGTTAAGAGACGAGAGAGTTAACAAGCGGCCCAAGTCATAAAGGCCATTTGAAGAACAGTGGCTTTCGCTATAAGTGACAAGGAAAGTCACTGAAGTTTCTAGCAGAGACAGATGTCATTTGACCTATGTTTTGACAGGATCACTCTACTTGCCACACAGAGCCTGGCATTCAGAAGGTGCTCAAGAAATGACCAGTTGAAACTGCATAAAAATTAACCAAGCCAGGTGCAGTGGCTCACGCCTATAATCCCAGCATTTTGGGAGGCTGAGGCGGGCAGATCACCTGAGGTCGGGAGTTCAAGACCAGCCTGGCCAACATGGTGAAACCCCGTCTCCACCAAAAATACAAAATTAACTGGGCGTGGTGGCACATGCCTGTAATCCCAGCTACTCAGGAGGCTGAGGCAGGAGAATCACTTGAACCCGGGAGGCAGATGTTGGGGCAAGCCGAGATCGTGGCATTGCACTCTAGCCTGGACAACAAGAGTGAAACTCCGTCTCAAAAAAAAAAAAAAAATTAACCAGAGTCGGGTGCAATGGCTCACTCTTGTAATCCCAGCATTTCCAGAGGCTGAGGTGGGTGGATTGACTGAGCCCAGGAGTTAGAAACCAGCCTGGACGTATGTGCTGAAACCGTCTCCATTAAAAATACAAAAACTAGCTGGGTGTGGTGGCGGGTGCCTGCAGTCCCAGCTACTTGGGAGGTAAAGTGGGAGGATCACTTGAGCCCTGGAGGTGGAGGCTGCAGTGCGATGAGAGCTTGCTACTGCACTTCTGGAGACCCTGTTTCAAAAAAAAAAAAATTAACGAGAAACCAGCCCAGTGCAGTGGCTCACACCTGTAATTACAACACTTTGGGAGGCTAGGCGGGAAGATCACTTTAGACCAGGAGTTCGAGACAAGTCTGGGCAACAGAATGAGACCCTGTCTCCAAAGAAAAATTTAAAAATTAGCCAGGTGTGATGGCACTTGTAGTCCCCATGAGTTGGGAAGTTGAGGTGGGAGGATCGCATGAGCCCAGGAAGCCAAGGCTGCAGTTTAGCGGTGATTGTTCCACTACACTCCAGCCTGGGTGACAGAGGGAGATCCTGTCTCTAAAAAGATTTAAAAAAAAAAAAAAAATTAAAGAAAAACCAACAAAAAATTAACCTGAAACCCCAGCATCTCTTGCAGTTCTGAGATGGGACAATCTGAGGGTAAAAGGTGTTAGTGAAGCCTCCAAATAGAATAGGGACAGAACTTCTCAGCTGAAAGGGGGCCTATTCCTCAGTCCAAGAGAGAGCCAGACAAGGAGATGCACTCCTCCACACACACTTTATAGACCAAGAAACTGGAGCACAGAAACGTGAATTGATTTGTCCAAGGTCAGCAAAGGGTCAGCACCAGAGCAAAAGCAAAGGGTTAATAAAGAAATATCCTCTCCCCGCTCCGCAGCAGCGTCGGAGACTTTCTGAGGTGAGATGCATGCTCCTGCAAAGCGTCAGCAGTGACTCACATCGATTCCAGGGACAGCGGCGCCAGCCCGGGCCCCCCGTTGGCGTGGGCCTGCTGGGAGGCGGCGCCGCGGGAGCGACTCGCGAATACAGGCCGCAAATGACAGGCGGGCGGCGCGGGAGACCCATCTGGAATCCCCGGCGGACTCGCACCGCCTCCGGTTGACAACGATGCTAATATGAGACGCCACTGCTAGCAGCTGCAGGCTGAGCTGCTCCGGCGAGTCAGACGCCCTTTAAGCCTCGGTTTCCCCATTTGTGAAAGGAGACAGCGCCGCCCAGCAACCCCACTCCCACCGCCACCCCGGGGCGCTCGGCCATCGAAGACTTAGTGAAGAAGGCCGAGGGGGCAGGCAGAAGGTGCACAGGGGCGCCACGCCCTCCTCGCCCCCACCCCTCTTCCAGGCAGGTGACTGTGAAAGGAAAGGGACCCTGACTCTACCGTAAACAGGCGGCGCCGCCGCGTGGGGGTAACCGAGCACGCGCCTCCGCCCGGTGGGGCGGGGACGGATTTAGGGTCCGAGTCAGGCCGGGGTCGCCACCTCCAGGTCCAGCGGTCCAGATGTCCAGCTGGCTTGTCTGTCAGCTCTCTCGCGCTCGGGGCCTCACGCGCTTCCAGCACCACCTGCTCTCCGCACCGCGGCGGATGATGGCGGAGGAGGAGGATTTTGAAAGCCGGCAGTTTCTTTGCTTCGATTTGATTTGTTCGAGGCCCCGGCCGGCTTGCCCTCGCCCCGCACGCGCGGCCTCTCGGGTAGGGTAGTCCCATTCCCCAGCTGGGGGCGCGACAGGGCGCGCGCCGTGAACTACCCGTCCCATGGCGCACCGCGCGCAGAGCGTCCCCACCGCCCTCCTCTTCGCCCTCCCCTGGCGGCTTCTGGCTCTTTCTCGCAGAGACCGCAGGGCGGTGTTCAGCCAGGAGCACCCAGAGACTACAATTCCCAGAATGCGTTGCACCCAGGTCCCTCAGCTCTTCCGGAAAGGTTTTGTTCGCGTAACTTTGTTGACACAGGTACTGCTGGCTGCTGGGTCTCTTCCGCAAGACACGGGTATCCATTTGCCCAGATAAAGTGCTCTTTTCCGTCCCATGAAACTGAAAGGGCATTCGAAGCCTTCCACATAAATATGCACAAAGTACCTGATAATTGAAAAGGGGAAATAGTAACTATCGTAGAGAAACTGCAGACACCGCTTGAACGGCCACGTTAACATCAACAGCAGGACAAGCTGACATTCATCGCACACTTTCTGTGTGATGCACTGAGAAAAACACGGCGTCACCGTCCGGTCTACAACCTTAGCCTAATCACGAGAAACCCAAGCTGAGGGACATGGTACAGAATAACGGATCTGTACCCTTCCCGAAATGTTTGTATTATGTTAGACAAAGAAAAACTAAGAAACTGTTGCCGATTACAGGAAACGAAAAAGACAACTGAATGCAATACATAGTCCTGGATCGGATCCTGGGTGGGGATTGCTATAAAGGACAATACTGAAACAGCAAAATTTGACTGTATATTAGATAATAGTATTGTATCAATGTTAAATTTATTAATTTCGATTATGGTACAGGGTTATGTAAGAGACTGCCCTTGTTGTTGGGGAAAAAGTGATGAAATAATTAGGGACAAAAAGGACATGATGTCAGCAACCTTTATGGTTAAGAAATACACATATACATAGAGAAAGCAGAGACACAAATGTGGCAAAATGTTAGTTAATCTAGTTGAAGGATATGGGAGTTATTTGAACCTTTTTGCAACTTTTCTGCAGGTGTGAATTTAAGTATAAAAACACAAACAGCGTTTTTGTTTTTGTTTTTTTCAGACGGTGTTTCACTCTTGTTGCCCATCTCGGCCTCCCAAAGTGTTGGGATTATAGGCGAGAGAGTTCGAGACCAGCCTGGGCAACATAGTCAAACCCTGTCTCGACAAAAAATACAAAAATGAGTTGGACGTGATGGTGCATGCCTGTAGTCTCAGCTAAGGGACTGAGGCAGGAGGATCTCGAGCCTGGGAGCTTGTGAGCCATGATTGCACCACTGCATTTCAGCCCTGGTGACAGAGCAAGACCTTGTCTCAGAAACTTAAAAAAAAAAAGTTAAACAGATCATGCAGGCTGGGCGCGGTGGCTCATGCCTGTAATCCCAGCACTTTGGGAGGCAGAGGCGGGCGGATAATCTGAGGTCAGGAGTTTGAGACCATCCTGATCAACATGGAGAAACCCGCCTCTACTAAAAATACAAAATTAGCCGGGCATGGTGACGCATGCCTGGAATCCCAGCTACTCAGGAGGCTGAGGCAGGAGAATTGCTTGAACCCGGGAGGCAGAGGTTGCAGTGAGCCAAGATCGTGCCATTGCACTCCAGCCTGGGCAACAGAGCAAGACTCCGTCTCAAAATAAATAAATGAATAAACAGATCATGCCATATCTTTTTACACACAGCTCATTTAATCTTCACCACCAAAAGGGAAGTGGGCATCATTACTACCCTTCCTAGCACAGAGATGAGAAAACTGAAGCTCTAGACAGAGTGTAACTCTCCCAGTTCTCAAAGTTCCTGAGATGTGGATCCTCTTTCCACCTTCCCTCTTCAACAAGGCCCATGTCAAATGCTACTTCATGAGTCTTTCCCTCCGGCAGGTGCCCACGGCAAGATGCAAAGCCCCACAGCAATTGGCCTGGGGCTCTGGGGCTCTTGGACAGGGTTAACACTGTTCTTGGCATTTCCTCCTCAGCCTGGGAGGGTCTCGGGAGGAGGCGCTGTATCCATCTAGGCAGCATCTTCTCTGGGCCTGGCCTGTCATAGGTGCTTGAGGTTTCCCCATTTGAACCAGATACCAGTCGGATTACCGGATGTTTGCTTAAAATGAGTCATAGGCCTCACGCTATTCCTGTGCTGCTTCCAGCTAGGACTGATCAAATCAGTCTGGATTTTCCTTGGGGTGATCTGCAGGCTCCCTTTTCCAAGTTTACTTCTTGAGACTTTCCTCGGCCTGCGCACAGAGACCTCCCAAAGGGAAGAGGAAGGTGGGCAGGGGAACATCTTAGCTGATGGGTCTTGGGATTTTCGGAACTGGAAGGGAATTCTTGGACACCAGAAATTCAGTGGCCTTCAAGGCCTAGGAGGTAACAGGAAGTCATGGGGCTTGGCGGGGCTTGGGGGGATTCGTGGGGAGTTGGAGAGTGGATGTTCTGCCTGAAGGTGTTCACGTTCGAAGCTAAAAATCACAAACTCAGCCTGACAGCACCACCTAGCAATCTGGATTATGTCACTCCTGTATCCTGATTTTTTTTTTTTTTTTTTTTTTTTTT